AGAGGAAAGAGCAGAAGAATAAGAAGATATCTCATGTGAAACTTGGCTAAAAAGTATAAGGATTTCTCAAGTTTTTCATCCCGAAGATGTTGTCCTTAAATTAACTAGAATTTGATAGATTGCTTCTTGCCTATTACTGCTGTAGCTCTCCTCACTTAAAGAGGCTTATAAGTCAAGAAAAGACTCAAAAAGAAAGGTTATCATGTGACTTTCATGTGATTATAATAATTAATAACTTTAATAACTACTAATTATTGCATTCCTTTCTGCAACAACAAATTCTGTAGCAGTGTCACCAGACCCTTCCCTCCCTCTTGGGGCGAGGGGCGGGCCCAGACTACTATTGTATTTACATGTAGAAGGCAAAGCCACTCAATGTTTTACATTCTTTCTAGTTGATTACAGCATTCTTGACCTAGTTAAATCTATTTATTTTACCTGTTAAGTTTAATAAAACATTAGCTGAATTCACACCAACATCCTGACATTCAAGTGTTGTCCCATTTAGAGCATTACTGGATAAGTTAGCAGTAGCCATTGATGTAGATACACCACCAGAAATAATAGTAGGCCCGATTCTAAATGGACTTGATGCTAGCGGTATCACATTGGTATCACTTGCAAAATAAAAGTTTGTGGCGGAGGTATTATAAGCCCATCCTATTCCATTCCCGTTCACAGTACAAGTCCAATTGACTATGGAACCAAAACAAAACTCCTCATCAGAGGACAATAGTTCCACACCGGCTAATAAAAATACAATAACACAAGCAAAATGACATTCACCAACCAGCAAAGGAAAATAAAGTGAAGATCAGAATAAAGAACATCTTTCTCTAAACGAAACTGCCAAAATCAAGAATGCGGAAAAGTGCGGATCATGCGCGGAGTTGTGTCGTGTGTCGTCAAGTTTAAATTGCAAGACTGCAAGCATAATTAATGTTTTATAGTCTTACTAATGGCTACTACTGGTGTTTACTGGTGTCTTTTGTTAACTGGATGCATGAGTATTGTATCTGGTGAGTTCATATTTCACTGATATTATATTAGCATACAATTAGGAGGAGCAGTATTGACTCAAACCTCTCCAGCTTATACTCCAGTGTGTCCTAATGATGAACTAGTACTGACTTGTGTAACTAATGGAACTGTGGCTACTACCTTTTGGAGACATAGTGGTGATACTACTATAGGAAGACTAACTAGTGCTATAAGATCAACTACAACTGGTATTGGTGGTCTTCTTGCACTCAGTGTTACTGATATTGTGAATAATACAGTGACTAGTACTGGTACTATACAATCACTAGATGCATCACTGAATGGAACCATGATTGGTTGTACAGCTAATGAAACTTTTGTTACATTTACTATCAAAATGACAGGTATAATAGCAATTTTCATTATTTTATTAGTAACACGGTAGCGTTACTAAGTAGGATTCACCCCCAAACAAAATGGCTGCCACGACTTTTGCAGCCTTGCTATACCGGGAAAATTATAATATAGCTAATGATACTATATGAATAGGTCCACCAGTATCAGTGTCAGTTGTTAATGTAACTATTACTCCTATTAACAATACTGCACTGACAATCAGTTGGTCATTAAACACACAGGATTACAACTGCAGTATAAACCAGTACAATATCACTGTATACAGTAATGGGACAGACTTTGAACAAGAGTCTCTGAATGATATTACATCATATATTACTGGTTCTCTTACTATTGGTAGCAATTATTCATTCATTATTATTCCTATTGATACTATTGGAAGAGAAGGACCTCCTTCATCATTAATACAGTATATATGGAATGGTAAGTACTATACACACACACACTCATTGTATTTCTTATAGTACCAGCTCAAGTTGTTAATATTAGTTGGGATCAGATATCAACTGATAGTATTGCAATATGGTGGAATAACAATGAAGACACTGAAGTATGTTAATTAATATAACGTATAATTATCATAAACATAATTATACTCCTATTCAGTATTACATCATTACTGTATACAATACATCAAACAGTATTATATACACTAATAATACAACTAATACTAATATTACTATCACTGGACTACCTCTTACTGATACAAACTACACTGTTACTATCATTCCTGTTAATGTTATTGGATATGGACCATCAGCTACTGTTAATGGTATGTACAATTAATGTAACGTAATCTATTATAGTGACAGTTTGGAAAACTCTATATAATAAGTCTAACAATACTTGTGCCTGTGAAATGATGGACTATACAGCTAGCATTAGTTTTTCATATTCAACTGCATTGATAGCAACAGTCAGTACTACCACAAGTGAGTCAGTGCATATAAATTTTATTAACCAAGTTAGGCTTCACAATCAATTTTGATAGCAACAAAATCAGATACAATTGAAGCTAATACCTATTCTACTTTTAGTGCAGTGAGGTCAATGTGTAGCAGTTACATGG